GAGAATGTGCAGACAACCAATTTCCTTGCAGCAGTTGCCATGCAATACGTTCACACCCAGCTTACCTCAAGACAAATTACTTATCTTCCTGTAGCTAGAGTAGAACTATTGCATGCACTTAGCTTAGCAGCGTGCTGGCTTCTGGCCAGGATGACCTGTCCGTGTGGCACAGGAGCATAGGTGCTGTAACCTTGCTCTGCAGACTGGGGCTGATGCTGTTGGCAGGGTTGTAAGTTCCACCCTAAGCTGTCTTTTGCTTCAAGTTGCCATAACTGTGATCAACACAAGTGTAGCAGGTAGGCTTCATGCTCTGTGTGCTGTTGTGTTTCTTTGATCCCTTCCTTAGGTTGCCAGGTAGCTCTGATGCTCCTGGGCTATGGTGTTTTAGCAGTTGCAGGGTAACACTGCTGGAGAAAGTAGTGCCCTGCTGCTGACCCTGAATTCTTGCACCTGTGAACCCACCATTCGTTCCCCAGTTTGTGTAAATTCGTCCAAATACAGGAGGCTGGAAATCTGTCTAAAAAGGAAAATGAAAAGAACCTGTGAGTGGATTGGTATATTCCTCCTACTCAGAAGGAAGAATGCTGCTATTTGGTGGACTAGTTTATGAACTGGAGGAAGAGAAGAAAGCCCCCTTTAGCCTCCTCTTCTCCCTAGCAGTTGTGCCGTCTCCATCTATGCACCAAGGCTTTCAAGACCAGGCTGAGACATGCCCTGAGCTGGCCCTGCTTTGAGCAGGAAGTTGGACCGTGGACCTCCTGGGATCCCTTCCAGAATTAATTTTCGTGTCATTTATGTTGCTGAGAATCTGATACCGCATGTCCATGTGCACATGTATGCTCCAGTTCGGGTAATGACATCACCTCACACCATTGGAGCTACACGGTACATTGTCTTCCCTTGGCAAGGACTGAGTGAGATGAAAGTGGAAATAAGCCTTCATAAAATCTCTCCTTTCGGGTTTCCATAAATGAGAGCAATGCATTTCAGCTCTAGGGAGAAATGAGTTCAGTGACACCTCTTACAAACCTTATGGGTTCGGGTTTTTTTCCTGATGTAAATGCAGATTAGCTTTAGAAGGGGAGAAGAAGGGGCAAAGATTACAGAGAGATCAAGAGCCAGAGATGAATCTTAGGGAGAACCAGAGGAGGTGAATGGAAGCCTTATCTTTATGCAGGAAAGAAAAGCAGTCTTTCTATACATAGAAAGTTACTGCCTCTGAAATGTGTAGAAAGAGTTTATTCTTTTAAAAAGGATAATCTGGAAGCATGTCTCTCCTTAAATCTTGAGCTTGGGCCATACTGTATTAGAAATCTGTATCTTCACTATATGAAACGTTCTTATAGTATATATGTGTGTATATATTTAAATTTGGGCACCCAATTCATATGAGAAAAATCTTAGCGTAGATAAGTTATAAGTTGGTATTATCTTACCATAACTGGTTGTGAAAAATACCCAAGTCCCTTTACCTTAACCAGCTACCAAGAAAGCATATGGCTTTATGTTTTATTCAGAAGCTGATTCTGTCTTTGCAAGAGCTACACTTTTCTTGCTAAATCCAGTGTGGAAGTAGCATGCACTTCTGTGGCTTTCTGACACTTTTTGGGAACTCGGCTGAATTTAAAACTGCAAAGTTTTTTCTGTGCTGATAACTGGGGGACGGAGAAGAGTTAGTGGAATTTGTGCTTTCAGGACTGGAGGGCTTGTAAACAGTCTTGTCCAGCTGCACCTTGAGCAAATCTGTAATTGTTGGGGCTTTGCACTCTGAGAACTGAATTGGTGGCGGCAAGAGTAGGGAACTTTTGTTGTCATTCTTCTGTTTTTTTCACTTTGTCTTCTGGATTTGCAGTCTCTTCGCTCTAATTTTTCTTTGCATTGCATTTCTGTGGTAGTGAAGAATAGCCCTGTTCAGCTTCTGCAGAAGATTTTATACTCTGATGACATCAGGTCAGTGCATATGGTATTAGCAGAAAGAACCACGAATAATGTCACGTTGTGTAGGTCATTTTTCCTTCTTGCCCTTTACCAGTAGAAAAATGTGTGCAATGTAATGTAGTATCTCTTTTAATACACTGTATATTGATCTGTACTTACTGTGGCAAGAAACCTTTTTGGAGACGTTTGTTTCCCTGTCTCTGATCAGCCCCAGCTCTGTTTTTCTGACTGCATGGATGGGCCCATTTGTTGTCAGTACTTGGCACTGGCAAAGGCTGCTTGCTTTCCTCTCCCACGTCAGAGCTTAGAGATAGTAGCTCCTTGCAGTGGGCTGTAGCATGCATGTAAATGACTTTTTATCAGCCTGTTCTCTCTGTGTGACATCTCCCACGATAACCGCCCCCATACAGACTGTGCTAGGATGGCTCTTGCAGTTTGATTAAATGCTGCATGTGTATGAATGTCAGTGGATTGTACTGGATTTCTTTCAGGGTCCTCAGCCCCACTTTGCACTTAAGGGGATGGTGACTCTGAAATGCAACACTCCTTTAAAATGTATTTTCAATTAAGGGGAATGACTAGAAATTCAGAGGTATATAAAACTGAGACAGATCTAAGAATAATATTTGTAGGCTGGTTGTTCTAGCTTCAGCACTGGATGGTTTCTTTTTCTGTATAGAGAGTTAACATCCTCTTTTCCCCTTCATTACATAGCAACAGGGTTAGGAAATAGCAGCTTTGAAATAACAGGAAAACAACCCATGATATAAAGCCAGAGACTTCATAGATGGACTAAAACACAAAATCTGTTATATGTTGGATGCTGTAAAAGGCATATGTCAGTAGAAAGGAGAGAACACAGAATGGGCCTTAGTTAAAAGCAGCAAAATTATCATTGTCCCTGTCCCCCCCACACTGTCAGTTTGAAGTAAATCCACTCCCCCTGCTCTACTCTGGTCAGGATTTTCAAAGGTGAAAGGTACTGACATGTGTTTTTCCAAGATACAGGTCCTTGAGGGAACGTGCCATGCACTTATAACTTGGGAGAGGGTGGAAGGAGGGGCATCTTCTTTTCTCAACCCACTGAACTAACTGCTCGTGTCTGGCTGGAATGTAAGACATGAGATGGGGAAACTCCTAGCAAAGTAACCAAGGGGACAAAACAGAAACACTGAACATGAGAAGTAAACAAAGCTAAGACTGCTTAGGAACCTCAGGCTCTTCCAGCATGAGCGCTCGTACTGCATCATTCATAATGGGGAGAATAGCCGCCTCACAGTGGTTTGTTGTGAGACTGCTGAAATGAGCTGCTGAGACACTGTGCCTCCCAGGCTTGTGGGGGCCCAGGAAAGCGTGGCTCCTGGTATGCATGGTAACTCCTCATGTGGAGCAGAATCCTTTGCCCTATGTTGCAGTGGTCTAAATTGCTTCCTTGGAGAGAATGTCCAGACAGCTGAACTCTTTCTTCTTTTGCCACCTCTGTGGATCTGTGTCAGGAACACTAGGATTTTGTGTTACATCTTACACATTTTTCATTGGCATTAGGGAGTGTTGTTATATATAAAATTTATTGGGAAGCATGTGCTGAACTTTTTACAACCTGTGTTGGGCTACTGGGCATCAGTGCAGTTGTGTTCGGTGTAGAAGACCTGAGTTTCCAAGCAGTGGTGTATTGTAGAGATCTAGTATGGCATAAGAACCTACACTGATCAGAGTAAAATTGGTATGTGGATGTGTGGCCTCTCCAAATAGATGTAGGGATGTAAGGGATGCCATAGTGTGATCCCAGACAAGGATCTGATAATAAAAGATTTTCATGTAGGGACAATAGCTGTGGGTCCTCAATTAACATGCTCTTGGTTTGTAAGTGGGGTTGGATGATGATACAAAAAAGAGTTTTAGTAGTACAAAACCCAGGGTTTTTTCCTCTCTTTCAAAAAGAGGATGATCTTGTGGTTAACAGTCTCTTGCGCCTTGCCAAGAGGTTGCTGTGTGTCCATGTGCAGTTTGCATGTGTTTGGATTTTCCAAGAGAGGCCTCAGATTTTCCGACTTTGTTTTGGTATCATTTTCCAGTTTTTTTCTTCTTTTTCTCCTCAAAACTGCTGCGTATCGAAAGCTTCACTTGGAATAGTGGATGCTTAGAAATTTCCAAATCCAGTGCCAGGGTGTTTCTGAAACAGCACTTCCGTTGAACCACCCCAAATCTATAGCTGTCTTTGAAAATTGTTGTGGTTTAACCCAGCAGGCAGCTAAACACCACAGGGCGTTTGCTCATTCCCCCACTCCTCAGTGGGATGGGGGAGAGAATCAGAAAAAAAAAGTAAAATTTGTGGGTTGAGATAAAGACAGTTTAGTGGGGCAGAAAAGGAAGGGAAAATAATAATAATATACAAAATAAGTGATGCATAATGCGATTGCTCACCATCCACTGACCGATGCCAAGTCAGTTCCTGAGCAATGATCCCAGCCCTCCAGCCAACTCCCCCCAGTTTTTATACTGAGCATGTTGTCATATGGTATGGAATAGCCCTTTGGCCAGTTTGGGTCAGCTGTCCTGGCTGTGCCCTCTCCCAGTTTCTTGTGCACCTGGCAGAGCATGGGAAGCTGAAAAAGGCCTTGACTGGCATAAGCAGTACTTAGCAACAACTAAACCATCAGTGTGTTATCAGCATTCTTCTCACACTAAGTCCAAGACACAGCATTATGTCAGCTACTAGGAAGAAAATTAACTCCATCCCAGCCGAAACCAGGACAGAAATATAGGCCTTAATTTCTCTGCTTGCTCATCCCTACCGGAGGGTTTGTATGTCTTTTCCTCATAAAGTGTTTGAAAAGCACTGTAGAAGCCTGCACTGGCACTGTGTGTTAGAGCAGCATGACAAAAAAATGTCTTGCATGTGTAGGACTTATATTTTCCTGGGGGTCATTTCCTGAAAGTCACTAAAACAAGGGGGAAGCCCACCTGTGGAAAAACTTTCCTGTCAGCTGGTAAATGAAGGAATAACAGGGCCATACTGCTGTTGGTAGGCTCCAGTTAAAGAAGGTGTTGCCATTCTGCAGGTCTGTCACTGGAGCGCTCAACCAACTCAATTGCCTCACATGCTCGACTGTGTGAAAGGGAGGAGGAAGTCATGGCTTGTTTTGAGAGAGCGTGTATCACTGCCCAGGTATACTTGCAGGAGCTTGAAAAGGTAAGAAGAAAATTGCTCAGGGTGTTACCTCGTGGCCTGGGTGGAATTTCCAGGGTTTTGACAGCAAAAGTGATGGGGAAATGCTGAGTGATCATAGGCAAGAAGGAGTGAGGTGTCTCAGTATAAGCAGTTGCAAAACTGGTCTCTGTCTATTTGCTCTGAGAATGAGGTCTAGAAACCAGTTTTGCCTGTGGTAAAGCACTGAATGCTTCAGATATGCTCAGGTTGTAGCTCATGTTTAGCTCTTACTAAAGAGGGACTATAAATGTTGCATAGCAAGTGCCAGCATGAAGGAACCCAAGATATTTTACATTATCTGTAGTGTACATAATACACAGTAGTGGATACTGACATCCTTAACGAGCTGAAAGTAACCTGTTTGGGTCAGCCATAGCAGTTTAAGTGCCAGTGCTTCACCTTCTCCAAGTGAAATTGGAGGAACCTAGATCATTAGTAGCAAGTAACTGCATAGTCAGTGGCTGGCTAAGATGCTGAGTAAGATGAGTACTGTGAGTCCTCCAGTGAGCTGTAGTACGTGCCACTGACTTGCTGGGCACATGCTTAGTGGTCTCCATCTCTGTAACTTTGCCTAGCTGAGTTTAACAGGGCACACCATGCACTTCCATGCCCTTCCTTTGCCACGCGTTATGCTTGACACCAGCAGTACTGATGGCAATGCATGTTACCTGTTCTTCTGTAACTTAACAGCCTTTGACCTTCAGACCAGATATTTCTGCTCTTCTCAGCAGCAAAGGTGTGTCTTTGTTCCAGGTTTTGTTTTTCATTGCATTAAAACAAGAAAAAAATAGCTTAATGCATATATAAAAATTCATTAAGAAAGCCAGCTAACAAGTTGTCTGGTCTGTTTCTTTGTAGGAAAAAGCTGAATGGCTTTTTTATTTAAAATTAAATGCTGTCCTTCCTTTGCAGAAGGATGAGTTCCTGCCAGTACTGGGCACTGTAAATGTTTTTACTGACAGCTTGTGTCTTTGAAGAAGGGAAGGAGTTTGAACTGTAATTCATTCATCTTCTGGACATAGACACAAGGATGCAGGATTACTGATGGGTGTACTAAAAGTCCATAGGCCTTCTCCGGTCCTGGATGTAAAACCCTGCTTTGGAGAGTCCACAAAGGGCAACTTTCAGCAGTGAAAGCTGTTTGTTACCAGTAAGGAAGCAAAAGCAAGAAGGGTTTGATAGGAGAGACAGAGGAAAGGCTAAGATTCTTCCATCAGGACTCCTGATAGCTTACTAACTCTTAACAAATATTTGTTACGTTAAGCTAGACATACCTACTGAAACGTTGCATTAATATTTCTGTGCAAGATGCTGGATCTGTGTGGTTGGAGTAGTATTTCTGAAGCCCTTGATATTAATATGTAGCTTTCTACTTTATTAAAGGTTAGAAAGTAATAAGGGATGGTGTTTCAAAACTCGTATTGCATGCAGAATATCTCATGGAAGTCACTGTATAGTTTATTTTAAAGTTGACTTTGAAAGGTTTTTGAATAGCTCATGAAGGTAAATTTTCAAGTAGTCTGAGGAGGAATCTGATGGCAGAAGCTAACATTTTATTGTTGGAGGTGTCTCTGGCTCATGAGGAACTGGCTGGTTCAGACAGTTGTCTGTAATTCCAGATGTTTCTTTCCTCCCCTCACAGACCTTAAACAACACACATTCAAGGAGTATCAAGGGCAGCAATGTGACTTACTCCGAGTTTGAACTCTCCTACTTCCTGGAAGCAGCTCTTCAGAGTGCCTATGTGACTCATTTAAAGAAGGGGTAGGTGGATGCAGATGTTAATAAAAATAGATAATGTTGCATGTTTTGTCTCAGAATAGATGAAAGCTTGTTTCTTTGTATGAGTTCTGTTGTGACTTTTTTGCTGCTGGCTCACCTCAAGACCCCTCAGTGTCCTTCCTTCCCTCCTATTTGTCTCTCTCTGTCTCTCTTAAGAGGAGTCCTAAGCCTCGTTTTTCCAGACCCGCAAGTAAGGTGGAGCAGAACAATTTTCTTGTCTTGACTCAGCTCTGTTCCCTGTGGAGATGAGCGGAGTTTGACGGTAAAGAGAGTGGAATTTACACTGCTGTGCGCTTTAAAAATGTTCAGCCACAGGGCCTGGTTTAGAGCTCAGTGAAGTCTTAAGGGTAGTTTGTTTCATTTGTTTGTTTATTTAAGGTCTTAAATGTCCCAATCAATACCCTAAATCTGTGTGGTTTTACTAGAGAGAGTGCATGTGGGAACAGTGCTGCTCCAGGGTATTTATTATGCCTCTGAAACATGGCTCCCAGCGAACCTTGGAAGGGCAAGAGGAATTGGTATCTGCAAGCCTACAGTGAATTTCACCTGAGGAAAACCTCCTCAAGTACAATAAAAAAGACATTGTAAATGCCCGCTTCCAAAGGCTGTCGGTGAGGGCACATTGTTCCCTAAAACAGACTGTCTTCAAAATTTAATCAACTCTCTTCAGCTGATGGAGAGATTGCCATGTAGGGAGAGTGTCTCTTCACCATGTGTAAACAGTACTTGTAAGAATCCATCCATCCCTAGTCCTGTTCTTGCACCATATTATCCCATTTGTTCTCAAGGAATCAGATACAGAATTTCTCACTGCTCTCTGTAATATTGCTGGTCAGAGTTTTATAAACTTTTTTAAGCAAACCATCTCTGAAAGTATTTAGTTTTGGCTGGTTTTTTACCTTCACCCCCAGTCAAAGATATTTTCTCTCATTTTCTTCACTACTCCTCCTTTTCCTGCTGAGTAAAATGGAGAAGAAAGCTAAAAATGAGGGGAGATTGAAAGGAAGAAAACTAGAAAACAAAAATCCCAGCAAAAATCGGTTTAAATTCTTCTGTAGAAAATTGATACCATTTTTTGACTCTGTTGCAGGAGGGGTTGCTTCTTGTTTAGGGCGCTTTTGCTAGTTTTTTATCCCCCAAGAATGACTTTAAATGCCACTGTGAACAGCCTCTGTGTTCCCCATTCTTTCGTTAAAAGCCTGCATGTACAGTGAAGCTGTACTCATAAGCATATCCATGAGAGGTGCCTTCAGGTGAGCCTTGTTTAACCCAAAGTCTTACAAATACACAAAGCCCAAATGTTGTGAAATGATCCCTTTTTTCAGGTGAGTAGAAGTTTTATGTGTAAAGAAAGTATGGACCTGTAAGTATAAGGTGTAGTGTCAGTATCTCCTCGGCAGCAGGGGACAGGTACGTGGTTTTCCCTGGGTGAGTTGGTTGACCAGCTGTGGCACAGCGTGTGCTTTCCTAGCTTTTTGCCATTCTCATGGCAAACAAAAAGCTCAGGTCTTGCCAGTAAGCTCATTAACTATATAACAAAATAAAATCTCATTTAGAACATATGGCACTGATGTCTTCTAGGCACCTTTTGAATATCAAACTCACTCACATTCGTTTTATTCAGCAACGTTTTAAATTCAGTCTTCATCAGTTCAATATATCCAGTGGGTTGTTTTAGCTGTTACTGTGCGCCCTGCTTGCTCCCTTGCCACGTTATTTTAATGATAGCCTTAAAAAAACCCAAAAACCCCAAACCAAAAAACAACCCACAAAAAAACCCTACAGGAAAACAACTGGGAATCAAAATACATATGTGAATTAAGCAGCGCTTTGATTATAAGCTGAATTGCTGCAATAGCACCAAAATGTTCTCTGTAGCTGTCTCCTGATGAAAGAGCATCCCAGTCGGTGTGATGGAGCTGCCGTGGCTGGGACAGGAGCAAAACGCCCGCCCCGTGCTCCTCACCTCCTCCAGTGCAAGTGAGAAACACCAGCCAGGGAAATGAAAGGTCTGGAGGGGGGGAAAGGAGCCCGGTGGGACTCCACAGCTTGTCTCTGCCCCCCATGCCCAGCTGGTATTAATGTGTGGTTTCTGCCACGAGAGGGCATAAGCAGCATTGGGATATATTAAGGAAAGAGGAGGGAAGTGGGAAGAAGCTTTTTAGGATGCTTCATGTGTATAATAAATTTCTCTACCTGATATTGAACAGCTCAAAGAAACGCTTTTGTTCTCCTTATTGCTTCCAGCGTGTTCGGGTAGGAAATAAGCCCTGCGCTGATGAATGCTCAAGGTGGCAGGGGGGTAGGTCCTGTCAGGTGGGATGTCCTTCCCCAGCAGCACATGTGTACAAAAGAAATAGTGAGTGCTTTATTCTTGTCTCATTGGGCAGAAGAGCTGAGGGATATGAGTGGTGTTGTCACGCTTTTGTTCCTCTTGGCAGGAACAGTCATGCTCCTCTCACAGCGTGGTTGGGGATGCCCTTTTCTCTTGCAGCGTGCAGTGGAAAGAAGGCACCAGTACAAAACAAAGGTCCAGTCTCCCTTTCAGATGTTGAGCTGCCAGCTGTAAGGACCAGCAAGTCTTACAGCTGTGGAAGTCCCAGATGCTTTTAATAAGATGTTTACTTAAAAATATTGTGTTGCTGAAGACAGGTTTCCTGCAGTTGTTTGCCCTGCTGCATCCCAAGAAATCTTTCTTTAATTCTTCCAGTGAGCAGTATTGATGCTGTGGGTGCAGAATATAGGCAGGCAGATGCTGTTGTACTGTAGGAGGCAGCCAGTTGTTTTTCATGTTAGCATCTGCACTGGGTTTTGGTTTTTTTCTTTCTCGTGTGGATGTGTGAAGATCAGGCTCATTTCTTGCTGCCTTTCCTTTCAGAATATTGAACAGGTATTACTGCTTTATACTGTTATGGGGGCTTTGGTCAAGGTGCTCGTAGTATTTTCTTAGGGCAAACAGGCTTCAACCTGTGTGAAGTAATGGTTGTATGCATGCTGCTCTCTTAATGGCACTTGAAGTATGTGTGGAGTTTCACAGGCAAGACAAATAAATTCAGAGCTTTCTAGAGGATGTGGTTGGTTTTGGAAGCTCTAGATGGGATGCTTTTGAAGAAAATTAATTTCTGAAAAATATTAAGCACTTACTAGAAATTGGATTTCCTTATGATCCCTCAAGTTAGGACCTAAATTACTTTGGTAAACCCTGATGAAAATGCCTAGTAGGGACAGCT